CATGACGGTGAGTGTTCACTTCCTCTTTTCTCCTCTCTCTCTCACACACACACACACACACACACACACACACACACACACACACACACACACACACACACACACACACACAGCATCCAGTGTTCAGAGAGCATGAAGCTCATCACAGAGGATATCATCAGGGCCGTCAGGTAAAAACGGATTATCTTTTGTAATTAATCTCTAATTGAGATGGAACTAATTGAAATGATTGATCCGTCTCTCTCGGGTTGATTATGTTGTTTGTGTAGATAAAGTTTAGCTACTTTCAAAATGACCTGTTATAGGAAATACGTGGTTAAAAGAGGCAGCATTTCTCCTATAAAGGACAAATCATTTCTCACTATCGTTCTGGGTCAAAGTAAAACGTTTTAATTGATTTCAAATGTATACGTTTCTTCTGAACTGGTTCTAAAGACAAATTGTAAAACCTTTTGACTCAAGTTTGTAATTTGGGATATTGAGCTTTACAAATATAGTTGCCTTGATTTTTTATTTATTTTGTGTGTTGTTTTAGTTGTTTTCCATGTCTTTGAGTTTATTTTTGTTTCCTTGTGTCTTTTTGTGGTTATTTTGAGTTTCTTTGTAGTTCTTTAGCATCTCGTTGTAGTCATTATGTGTCTCTTTTAATTTTGTAATCTATTTTTGCTTCTCATTGAACTTGTTTTAAAGTTGATGAAAATCTGATACAAGGTAATAATTCTGAAAAAAGTCAAAACTTTGAGAAATAATTCTGAGAAAAATTGGAAATTTGAGAAAATTCTAAAATCTGAGAAATATTGAAAATACTGAGCAAAAATAAATATTTCTGAGAAAGAAAAAATAAATTCTAAGAAAAGTAAAAAAAAAAAACCTGAAACAAGTTCGTAATTTGGGAATTGAGCATCTAAATATAGTTGCCTTGTTTTTTCCATCTCTTGTTGTTATTTTGTGTCTTTTTTTAGGTTATTTATAGTTTTTTTTAGTTGTTCTCTTTGTAGTCAAAATGTGTCTCTTAAGTTGTTTATTTATTATATTTGTTTTCTGTGTCTTCTTAGTAGTTCAGTGTTTATCTATGTTCATTTGCATCTTTTTAGTCTGTTTGTATCTTGTTATAGCGGTTTTCTGTATATTTGTAGTCTTTAAGTGTATCGTAGTGTAATACTTTTCTTCTGAATTGGAGCTTAACTTAAGACAGATTTTAAAACCCTTTGATGCAAGTTCGTAATTTGGGATATTGAGCTTTATTATTTAGTTGCCTGGACATTGTGAGGAGAATCTCCTGGAAGCTGCCAGGAAATTGCAAAAATAGACATTCAACTTGGTGGTTAGTATACCAACTGGTAACTCTGAGAAAATATTACAAATTCTGAGAAAATATTAATATTACAAATTTCTGAGAAAATATTACAAATTCTAACTAAAGTAAAAACTGAGAACATTTTGAAGTCTGAGAAAAAAAGTTATTCTGAGAAATAGTGAGAATTCTGAGAAAATTCAAATTTCTGAGAAATAGCAAAGGTTCTGAGAAAAAGTAAAAATGTTAGAAAATATTGAAATTCTGAGAAAAAGTCAAAATACTTAAAAAAAAGTAACATTCTGAGAAAAGTCAAAATTCTCGAAAACCCATTTAGTTTGTCGAAATGGAGTTTGCAGGATTCAGCCTCTCTCTCTTTCCTGTTTCCTCAGATCCTCCTCCTGCAGACAGGTGTTAAGCTCCGCCCTCCTCCACCTGTGGGATGTGTTCTCAGCTCCTGCTCCTCAGGGCAGAAACCTTCTCACGCTGCTGGTTCTCTGCTTCAGCCTCGCCCTGCTGACCGGCCTCCTGATGCTCCTCTGGCTCTCAGACTCCCTCAGATACTCCTCACAAACCTGCCTGCTGACCTCCAGCATCTACAGGTCTGAATTAATCTATCAGAAACCTGCCTGCTGACCTCC